CAATATTAATTAATTGTCATAATTTTCCTATATTACCATTTTTACTGGTAATGGTTTTGAAATGATAGGAACATGCACTGTTCAAAAAGTCTTAAAATGTTGTTTTGGCTCAATTTCTTTGTTAGATTACTGTGTTGAACTAAGGCAGGTCAATTAAAGTAACATGATCCTATAGATTCCATGTACATTTAGTACTGTAAAGTAGACAAATTTATTGTTTTCACAAGTAGTTCTCAAACATTGATTTAAGTTGGTCTCCTGAAGGATGTAATAATGCAATTGGTCTGCTTAAGGTACAGTGTATAATATAGACATGCATATTTTATTTTGAATTTGTATTATGTCAATCATTAGAAATATATGGATCTTAATTAAAAAACATTGTTTTCATTAGAATTTAAGATATATATAATAGGCATATATTCTTCATGCTTTTCCATAGTTAAGTCCTTTTTTACAGGGTCTCTGCTAGAATCATGTGGACCCCAGTGTAACAAATCTATGGAAAGAAAGAAAATCTCAGCTCAAGGGTCAACATGTCTTTATTCCAAGAAAGGTAAATTGATAATTTTTTCTGCTAAAATACTCTTTTATAAATTATAATATCAATGCAAAAGAATGAACAAACAATGTACCTAACAACATTTTGAAAATGAAAGTGCAATAACAGTTAATAATTATGATCAATCGAATGAATGTTAATAATCCAATCAAAGTCCTTGTTGTATATCATTTTTGCTAGGGCTGTGTATTGAGCAAAAAAAAGAAAGACATTTTTTAATGCGATATGCAATATATTGAATTCTTTAACAATTCTGTCAAAAAAGTCTTATAAATCATTATGTATGAATTTTATAAAAATAATAATTGTTTTTTACTCATTTTTAATTTTTTTGTATCACCGTCTTTAAAAATTACACTTCAAATTCAAACTTTTCTTGACTGTAGAATCAACATGTTAAGTAAAGTTGTCTATGTATTTTTATGATTTTGTAATAATCATTTAAGATGTGCTACCTCCTTAATGATTATGTCATTTTTGATCAGTTTTAATTCAAAACAGTTACCGGTAAATATAATCTTTGGTGATTGAAATTCCCAAGTTTTTCACAGAATTACATAAAAAAACTGCCTGCCCAAAATGTATTGGAATTAAGTCACTGTTATTTTTAGCTCACCTGAGCCAAAGGCTCAAGTGAGCTTTTCTGATCAAAATTTGTCTGTTGTCTGTCGTCGTTGTCGTCTTTGTCGTTGTTGTTGTTGTAGTAAACTTTTCATATTTTCATCTTCTTCTCAAGAACCACTGGGCCAATTTCAACCAAACTTGCCACAAAGCATCCTTGGGTAAAGGGGATTCACACCCTCTTTCAAGGGGAGATAATTAAGAATTAGTGAAAATTTAGTGGTATCTTTTAAAAATCTTCTTCTCAAGAACCACTGGGCTTTAAAAGTTGAAACTTAGGTGAGACCTTCATTACATAGTGTAGATTCAAGTTTGTTCAAATCATGACCCCCTGGGGTAGGGTGGAGCCACAATGGGGGATCAAAGTTTTACATAGGAATAAATCTTTAAAAATCTTTTTCTCAAGAACAACAAAGCCACGATTAGTCATATTGATATGGAATCATCCTCAGGTAGTGTAGATTCAAGTTTGTTCAAATCATGACCCCAGGGGTAGGATGGGGCCACAAGGGGGGATCAAAGTTTTACATAGGAATATATAGAAAAAATCTTTAAAAATCTTTTTCTCAAGAACAACAAAGCCACAATTAGGCATATTGATATGGAATTATCCTCAGGTAGTGCAGATTCAAGTTTGTTCAAATCATGACCCCCAGGGGTAGGGTGGGGCCACAATGGGGGATCAAATTTTTACATAGAAATATGTAGGACAAATCTTGAAATTGTTTTTCTTAAAAACAACAAAGCCACAATTAGTCATAATTTATATGGAAGCATCCTCAGGTAGTGTAGATTCAAGTTTGTACAAAATCACGACCCCCGGGCGGGGGGGGGGCACAATGGGGGATCAAAATTTTACATAGGAATTTATAGAAAAAAAATCTTTAAAAACCTTTCTCTCAAGAACAACAAAGCCACAATTAGTCATATTGATATGGAATCACTCTCAGGTAGTGTAGATTAAATTTTGTACAAATCACGACCCCCAGGGGTAGGGTGGGGCCACAATGGGGGATCAAAATTTTACATAGAAATATGTAGAAAAAATCTTGAAAAATCTTCTTCTCAAGAACAACAAAGTCACAATTAGTCATATTGATGTGGATTCATCCTCAGGTAGTGAAGATTCAAGTTTGTATCAATCATGACCCCTCGGGGTAGGGTGGGGCCACAATTGAGGATCAAAGTTTTACATAGGAATACATAGGAAAAAACTTCAAAAATCTTCTTCTCAAGAACAGCAAAGTCATGTTTTGTCATACTGATATGGAAGCTTCCTCAGGTAGTGTAGATCCAAGTTTTTTCAAATCATGACCCCTGGGGGTAGGGTGGGGAAACAATGGGGGATCATAGTTTTACATAAGAATATATAGGGAAAAAAAACTTCAAAAATCTTCTTCTCAGGAACAGCAAAGCCATGTTTTGTCATATTGATATGGAAGCTTCTCAGGTAGTGTACATGTAGATTCAAGTTTGTTCAAATCATGACCCCTGGGGGTAAGGTGGAGCCACAATGGGGGATCATAGTTTTCCATAGGAATATATAGGGAAAAAAACTTGAAAAATCTTCTTCTCAGGAATAGCAAAGCCATGTTTTGTCATATTGATATGGAAGCATCTTCAGGTAGTGTAGATTCAAGTTTGTTCAAATCATAAACCCCAGGGGTAGGGTGGGGCCACAATGTGGGATCAAATTTTTACATAGGAATATATAGGAAAAAATCTTTTCATCAACAGAAAAGCCACAATTAGTCATATTGATATGGAAGCATCCTCAGGTAGTGTAGATTCAAGTTTGTTCAAATGATGGGGGGGGGGGGGGGTTAGGGAGAGTCCACAATGGGGGATCAAATTTTTAACAAGGAAATATATAGGAAAAAATTTTTTAAAAATCTTCTGCTCAAGAACAGTAAAGCCATTTGTTATATTGATATGGAAGCATCCAAAGGTAGTTCAAAATCCAAGCCCCCTCCCCTTTAAACTTTTCAATACTGAAGTGATTTGTGCTTTTTCCTAGCCAATGTGCTCAGGTGAGCGTTGTGTTACACCGTTATGTCGAATACCACGGATATCTCGAAGTGAATCAACGGTCCCGGCTGTTTTTATTATATTTATGATTTTAAAAAACCCCAGTATCTCGAACACGGAAATCTCGAATACCTCGCTTATCTCGAAGTAGATTTACGGTCCCAAGTGCTATAAACACATGCGTTATCTCGAAGTCAAACAAATTCTCGCTCCGCTGAATTCACACCTTAGTACACAATAATCCCATTATGCTAATTTTACGGTCTGTTGAACGTTTCCATTAGGTCTAGCACAGGCTTCATGGGACCATTGCTGATAATAACACCTTATTAGTCCCAAGCTGTTGTTTTTGGTAGTTAAATTTAATTACGCAGGCCAGGTGATTTGGAGGTGTTAATAAAATGCACTCTCAGAGATACTATGACACGATAATGAAACAGCAGCTTGGGGACGATTACTGTACTAGAAATTTAAATTATCGAAAATACACGCTTATACACATCATTACATATCAAAGTAAACACTGAACACATCAAAGTGATATTGAACTCAAGAAATTAAACAATTAAAGACATTATTTTGAGTATAAAAGTCAGTACCAAAAATCAAATCTTCAGTAAATATCATGTCCGATAAGGCCAAATAAAAAAAATTTGTGTGGTTCCGGTTACCCGACCGTCCCTATTTTATACCCCTGACCCTAAACTTTTTTTGGGCAATTTTCATATTTTTTCCGGAATTTTCCCCAATTTCCATCAATGGCTCCGGTTTAAGTTTTAGTTTCAGCAATGACGGCCCCCCTGCACAACATAGTGCAAGTGTTTATTAGTGTTAAATCCAAAGCAAGCTAGCATGTAGGTGTCCCCTACCAATATTGACTAGTATATTATCACACCACATCTAAATGTCATTTGTAAAGTAGTGATAAGTATTATTTAGAAAAATTAAGAAAATCATTTTGTTAAAAAAAAAAAAAAAAAAAAAAAAAAAAAAATTCCCTACCTACCTACCCTAATTTTTTTGGAGGTGTAACCGGAACCACACATATTTTTTTGTTTGGCCTAAGGCAGTCTAACGAAGGACCCCGGTAGCCAACCAGGGGGGATAGTTAGATTATCTGGTGTAAAAAGAAAACTTAAAGTTCATACAATCGAAACAAAGTTTGCTTTTGTTTATTCATATTGGCAATTTCAATAAATTATTGTAGAACGATAATTCCTGTTGTTACATTTAGGCATGTGGGTATATGTACATATCCTGTTAAAGTCTTTGTGTATCACATTATATCATGATATACTTCAGACAAATTAGTACACCTGTAGTTTTGAATACAATTCATACATTGATTTCATTTGCCACAATGGTCTCTTTAATATTGCAATAATGCATTTGGTCTTCCTAATGCATGTATAATGCAGGTACTGTATATACTCTATGTCCAGCTTATAGGTGAGTCATAAAAAGACTAGTATTTTGAAACCAGGTTAAAACATCAGAGCATTGATTTGAAATTGTCAATTGATTCTGGCAAAAAGTTGTACCGATTTATAAGCGGGTCAATAGCAAATCCCTCCAAAATAACCTCAAAAAATACAACTGACTTATAGGTGGAGCACCTTATAGGCAAGTATATATACGGTATAGTTTTTGTTGAATTTTGCTAACAGCAAAACACTATGAATAATGAATTTTGGAAAAAAAAGATTATTAAGTTTAATGATGCATGTATGTAGTATAGAAATATTGTTCATATGCCTGTACATGGTACAAATATGCATTTTACAGAGTGTACATATGCCAGAATCATATGGACCGCAGACTGGCCCTGGTGATTCCGTTAAGAAAAAAGAGGAAAAATCAGTGCTTGTGCTCATTGGTCATTGGACAAAGGTAAATAGATTTATTTCATGAAACTAAACATGTAAATTACTAGGATATTAAAATATCACAATTAAAATACATGTACTGATTTATATATATATGGATTTCAGTTGGTCTCCTTGATGGAGTTAAATGCATTTGTTATCCCTTTTAAGTGGATCATTTAAATATTATGCAGTTTATTTAGAAGCTCTTTATTATCTGCACTGTTCACTTTTACAGGGTGTATGCCAGAATTTTTTCAAGAACAGTCTGAATCTGACATGGAAAAAATGAAGAAAAACAGCCTTCCTGTTTATAAATCTACATTCTGACAAAGGGTAATTTTGTTTAGTTCAATTAGAAGTGCACATTTAATTTCAGTTGCTTTCCTTAATGATATATTATAGCATTTTTATTCCCTTATGAACAATATGTATACTTGTAAAGCATGTATCACAAAATCTTCTGCAAACAAAGTTTTGGGTGTATAGTGTTTGTTGTTTAACGTCCCTCTTGAGAATTTTTCACTCATATGGAGACGCCACCACTTGTCGGTGGAGAGCTGCAAATTTTTGTCCTATACTCAGCACTTACGGCCATTGAGCAGTGAGGGATCTTTATCGAGCCAGCACCTACTGTGACATGGGACCTCTGTTAATACCTCTGTCTCATCTGAAGAACGGGTCTCCACGTCCCACAGTGGGATTCAAACTCGCAATGTAAGGATCAGCTTCTTTCTCCGCGACTCTAGAGTAGACGCTCTAACCACTGCATCTGCTCTACTTTGGTAACTTTGGGTGTATATAAGCATAGGAATCATCATGTCCATCTGTCTGTTCATGTGTTTGGCCACTTTTATGATTAGTTTTTTTGTTCCAATTCTGGCTGAGATAAATTGATTTAAGTCATCTAAATACAAACAAATTAAGGGAAATTACTATGGTATTGGAATGAACATTTTGGAATACTGTCTAATTGTTCCATTGCAGTTGGTTTCTTTAATGTTGAAATAATGCATCTGGTCTTCCTAATGCATGGCATACACTGTATGCATGTGTAATGTTAAAGTTGGCTGAATGTAAACCAGTTCTTGCATTATGACAAAGGTAAATAGATTTAGTTCATGTAACTAAACATGTAAATTATTAGGGTATAAAAATCTCAAGTTTTGAATACTGATTTACATGTGGAGAGTAGTTGGTCTCCTTAATGCAGTAATAATACATTTGGTCTCCCTTAGGCCAACATTTTTTTATTTTCTGTTTTACGGGAATTTTTTTTAAAAATTTGAGTCGGGGGGTCGAAATAAAAATAAAAGCTCGAAATTTAAGCAGTCGGCCAGAAAAATAAAAATAAAATGAAAAAATGCAATGAAAATTTTTATTTTTAATTTAGGATGGAATTTTTTTTCTATGACCTTAATTTGTTAGGAAAAAAGTGTTATTTGAAAAACTTATGTATACGAAACGCAAAATTGGTACTGTTAATGTATCAATGAACTATTTTTAATTTAACTGTCTCTTTGATATTTGGGGCAGGGGGTTCATTTCTAGTATTAACAGCTTGCAGTTTCTAACATTAATGCAAATCAAACATTGAAATCTATAGTCTTCCCTCAGTTGTCAAATATCATAGTGTCACCACAATAAAACTTATAGGACTTCTTTCACATCCCTCATTAAATTTTCAGAATCTTTTATTTTTTGGTATTCAGCAAATTACAAGATCTGAGGATTTTGGACTAGCTCTGGCAAACTTATGGCAAAAATACAGTGAGACATTAAATGGATCAGCTAAAATAAATTAATTCACAGAAGTGCACGTGAGACATGATAAAAAGAAAAGTTGTATAATATTTTTTTCAATGCAATTCAAATTAATATGGTGGTAGTGGAAAAAAGTATCCCAATCTCTCTGCTGAAAACATATTCAAACTTCCTCAATCTGTAGTATATTTGATCTCTTTTTATCCTTATATTTTTCTTTCTGAGCATGCTAACTTTCAACATAATTGTAGAAAATATGTACATCTTTCCCATAGTATACACATGTAAAATACACATGACAATATTCTGTTTACTGCAGAATTCAAAAATTTAATTGTTGAAACTGGTTCTAATCCACAACTTTTGAATGAAAAAAAAAAGAGAAATCAGGTCTTGAATTTAAATAATATTTTTAAGGGCGTATCATTTACAACAATACTTTTCCCTAGTGGTAAAAAAACTTGTCTTACTAAACAAGAGATACATATACCTGTATACCGTCACTATATCAGCTGTTATTAATAGCTAATGTATATTAATTTGTTACATAGCACAGTCAGGGGTGAGACTGAAATCCGTCATTTCTGAAAAATGATGGATAATCGTCATATTTACTAACTACGTATTTTCGTCATTTTTGTCAATATGACTTACTATCGTCATATTTTCTTTTTCAACTTAATTCTGCTATCCTGGTTACATAAAAGCGAAATTTGAATTCACCGCTGAAAGAAGAGTGTTTACGCAAGTTTCATTTCATCCGGGTCACTAATTACTGCCGACCACGTGCGTTAGAACATCAACATGGAAGGTGAAAGTTATTATTTAGCGGTAAAATGTCGAATTTTGGTAGAACTAATTCGCCATTTTTACATGGCTTTTAAACCTATAAAAACATATAGTACACCGTCTGGAAGAATACGTACTTGTAGAGAAAAGTCTCGACAAAAAGTTAAAGCCGTAAAAAAGTAGTGCGCCCCGTAAAACAAGCGAGATATTTCAGTGCGCCCAGACCCTCCATTTTGAAAAAAGACGGCATATCGTCATTTTCGTCTTCTTTCCTATTTAATGCAAATAAATTGACAAATAACTCTTCCACTCTTATTTTTGCTTGGGAAATTTGTACTGTCGACATAACCAGTATTGTAGTCAACTGTATTAGAGAAATGAAGTTTGTTTACGATGTTTTTTGTCCTTTTTTCGGTTGGTGGATCTAACATTTTTCAAAGAGAGGTAACTCGGTATTCTAGAAACACTCTAAATTTTTATGACTGTTTTTCGTCATTTTCTTAAAAATGACGAGTTCAAGTCATAATAAAAATTTTATTTTATGACTAAAAATCGTCATTTTAAAAATGACGGATTTCAGTATCACCCCTGACTGTAGCATGCAAAATTCCATAAAATGACAAAAAAGGATATAATGTCTTGTATCAATCAAGCATATATTTTCGTAGGTAATTTTGAATCTAATATTTGTCCATAAAACGAGTGAACCAGTTCTACAGTGTTCTGTTCTGTCGTTAATTGTAAAAGAAAACATTATTGTTTTAAAATTAAGTTTAAAAAATCTTCAAGACGTAATTCAATGTATTGAAGCAACTGTCAAAGATAATATGTACTCAAAACCTTTCAAAACAAGCGGTTCACAGAGCCTCAATTTCCACGTGGCCCTCTGCATGACATTTGATCACGATTACTGTTTCGTCTATTTCATTCAATCTTTCATTAAAAGTTAATCTGAAATTTATACTTTTTCTAATATATGACACTGACATGTCACTTTTTAAAATGACTATTTAAAAATAGATGAAACCCTCCGGTTCTGACATTTTGGCGCTATGCTCTGCAGTGACTATTCACACTTCGAATACTGTGATTGGATGAATATATTTACCTCAGCCAATGACAAATCGCATTTTGAAAGGATTGTGAATGTTTATTTATATTTCTTTTATTTTTTCAGTGACTATAAATAAACTATCGGCGGGAGAAATAAAAATAAAACTTGAATTAGGGACTTTTATTTTTATTTCATTTTAGCCCAAATTAGGGTCGGCGCTCCCGTAAAACAGGATATAAAAAAATGTTGGCCTTATGCATACTGTATATTATATAAATTTAATGACTGACATGTACGAGGGTTGATCCAAAAGTTCATGGAATTTATTCATATTTTATTTATTAGTGAAAGTGGTTGAATACTGATTTACATGTGGATAGTAGTTGGTCTCCTTAATGCAGTAATAATACATTTGGTCTCCCTTATGCATACTGTATATTATATAAATTTAATGACTGACATGTACGAGGGTTGATCCAAAAGTTCATGGAATTTCTTCTAGTGTTGTACCGATAATCAGAAAACATCGATTGTCGACAAAAAAATGCTACCGATTCCGATGATCGATTATAGTTTTTCATAATCGATCATCGGAAACATACTTCTAATACAATACATTCCGGAATTATCCATTTCTGGTTTAAAATTTATTTCTTCTTAATGAAAGAAAATGGCATCTGCATCTGATACTAGCCAACTAGCACGAAGCAGAGGTGATTAAGAACCGAAGATGCATATATAGGACCTAAAAAAAATTATTTTTGTTTCCTGTAATAACCCGACCGACCCATTCAATTTACCCCCGGGTGAATTTTTTTTCTGCCAAATCTGTGTTTGCTCTTTGGTTGGACCAATCAGCTGATTCTTTTTATTCAAAAAATATTAATTGTATCTTTTATTTGAGATATAAAATATGCAACTTAGTCAACATTTACCTTAAATATAGAGTGATCAATTCCCCCCACAACTTTTTGAAGTTCGTTTTCTGCCGCTAGGCAGCCATGTTAGGTGTCCACTGTAAATATTTTTAGGTCTAGAAAGTGTAAAAGAAGCAAAACAACAAAGAAAATAATATATTATGTTTTTTATATATTCATGTTAAAGAAATAAATGAAATTATTGTAATAGTCTGCTTTTTGTATACAAAACTATGAAGAAATCCGATTATAATCGGTGAAATCGCATCAGAAGCAGTAACCGATTCCAACCGATGATCGATTATGAAAATTAACTGATGTCTCATCACTAATTTCTTCATATTTTTTTTAATTTATTATTGAAAGCGGTTGAATACTGATTTACATGTGGAGAGTAGTTGGTCTCCTTAATGCAGTAATAATACATTTGGTCTCCCTTATGCATACTGTATATTATATAAATTTAATGACTGACATGTACAAGGGTTGATCCAAATGCTCATGGAATTTCTTCATATTTTATTTTTTTATTAGTGAAAGTGGTTGAATACTGATTTACATATGGATAGTGGTTGGTCTCCTTAATGCAGTAATAATACATTTGGTCTCCCTTATGCATACTGTATATTATATAAATTTAATGACTGACATGTACGAGGATTGATCCGAAAGTTCATGGAATTTCTTCTTATTTTATTTATTTATTAGTGAAAGTGGTTGAAAATTACAAATAAGAATATAGACACTTGTTGAATTTTTTTAAATAAAAAAATATTTTAAATATTAATGATAGTAACTCTATGGCAGTTGCC